TTTAAGATGGATGATTTTCTGCACACGCTGCCGCTGAAATTGTCGATCGGATTTCAGCTGCTGTTCTTCTCGGTGGCCAGCACGATGATGGCGTTCGCGCTGACGATCGTGCTGACGATGAGATCGAGGGAGATAAAATGGACGATGAGTTTTCTGTATATGGCGACGTTTTTTCCGGTGACGATGTTTATAATCATTCAGCTGCCGTTGTATGTGGAACTGGTGAAGAATATTTGGAGTTATCGCCACAATCTTTTGAAGTTCCTTCCCATGGGTTTCGTCGCCCCATTTTGGAAGCTTCCTTCCAAAATTTTTATCAGGAAATTTGCTTGATTTTTCATCACTGCCTTTGCAGTGGCCAGTGGGATTCATGGAAAAAAAAATTTATATTTTATTTGTCGAGTGTGTATATTTATTGTTTTTTAGAACAACGTGGCAGAGCTATGCTTGGTTCGTGAAAATATTAGGCCCGCGATTCTATCGCAAGATAAGTTAAGTGTCGGTCAAAAGTCAATGATTGTATAAAGTGGATACGATCTTTGTGCCAACACGTCATATATTAGATAGACTGGAGATGAGATTGTAGGAGAAATCTGTAGGCAATTCTTACACCTTGAATAAGTTAAATACAATATAGGATAAAGCTTCGAYTCCTCACTGACGAGGAATTCTTACCATCATTGAATATTTGAATAAAATTTTGTTTTTGCATTTATCATTAAATGTCAAATATTTAATGATGGTAAAGAATAAGTTACCTCTCACCGGTGAGAGCCAAGTTTTATCCTACCATTTGAATTTAATGGAGATGAAGAATATTTTCAACGAAGAAGGGGTGAAATTGTCAAATAGTTCCAAATATTTTAAACTTTAGGATTTAATTTTTACCCTTTGAAATTTAGAGGTTCGGTTTAAACACTTGGAAAAGTTTGAGGGTTTAATTTTTATTATTAAATATTCAGGGGTCTAATTTTTACCATTAAATGTGTATAAGGGTTATAATTGTAACACCTACCATATCATATTTTAGGGGTGATTTGTGCCATTTTTTTTAATAACAATCTACTTACTGATAAGTCTATGAAGTTTAGTCTCAAACTTTTTTTT